AGGTCTGGCAATGATTCATCAAATCTAGATACAAACAAGCCATGCATGGCACAGTCCCCGTTAGTTATCAAATTTAAGATATATAGTTTTGTTTATAGTAATATAGCTGGAATATAACCATGTCAGGAATATGATTTTTTAACATTCAAATGATTGACATTTGTATCGGATTGTCAAAAAAGTACTTGTCCATATTGAGAGATATTGCTCTGGAACAGCATTCAAAATCAGCCATTTTGAATACATGTATATATATAACATGATGTATAACGAATATATAAAATTTGAATATAATTAGTCAAAGCATTTAAGAGATATGGCTCTAGAAGCCCAATCATTAAAACAAAATGGCCACCAGACAGCCATTTTGATTCCGATCTGAAAAATAAATGATGTACATCAGGAACCTGTAATGTCTAACATATATACCAAGTTTGAACAAAATCCATCCATAAATGCCAGAAATGCTTGATATTTGATGATTTTTTAGCACAAAAATGGCCACCATTTGGCCATTTCAAATAGGTTCGTCAAACCAATATATCTGTCTATCTATGACATGATGTATAATGAATATTTAAAATTTGAACATAATCAGTGAAAGCAAGTCAGAGATATGGCACGAGAACCACATTCATTAAAACAAAATGGCAGCCAGTCGGCCATTTTGAATCTTATCTGAAAAACAAAATTATTTGCATCAAGGTCCCATAATGTCTAATGCATATACCAAGTTTGAACAAAATCCATCTGTTAACAGCTGAGAAATGCTTGTTTTTGATGATTTTTAGCACAAAAATGGCTGCCATTCGGCCATCTTGAATCAGATCGTGAAACAAATTGAAGTGCATATGTATACTATCATGTATGATGTATGTGTGAAGTTTGATTGTGATTGGTCCAGGCATTTCTAAGATACAGGTCCGGACGCACGCACAGACGCACGGACACACGCGGGTCAAAACATAAGTCCCCGTTTTCGGACTGCGGCCGAACTATTGTACCCATTCTCAGGGTACAGACTTACTTGGACATGGCATCGATGAGGTCTGACAATGATTCATTGAACTTAGATGCTACAGTTGAAGCTCTCATTCTTTTCAATGTATTGCTGGAGGTAGCAGCACGACTGTAAGTTCTTGCCATTTCTAAATCACGATGACCACGGAACATATGAGCAACCATCTACAGTATGTGAGCAATACAAACAAACTTATCAGCTAGATATCTACCCACACGTTCATTATCACTAAATATTTAGTTCTAATATTTTCATAGTTTTCTACATGTTTATTACCACAAGTACAATTAATATGGTTTCTATATTCTGTTTTGTGGAGAAAAAAATAGAAAATTTTGTAGCAGTGAAACCTTCACTGGATCACGTCAAATTATCATATCAAGAAAACTTATAGCAAAAACTGTCAGTGTATCATCAAATAATTATTAAACAATCAAAATTCAAGTTAGTACTCATCACTGATGATATGACCAATCAGGATGAAGGTTACATACAAGTTAGTACTCATCACTGATATCATAACCGATCAGAATGACAGTTACACATCAAGACTTACCGGTGATTTACTTTCAATCAACATCTCTACAACATCAGATCTGAGATGGTCTCTGTTTTTATCCAAAAACTTTGAAACTTGATATGTGACAGGACCAGCATAATGATTGACTCCAAACTCAGAACCTGGCATTTTGGGCCGAATATAATAGGGATTCCCAGAATGCTGATGATGACACTTCTCCAGAAAGGAATTGTCACTTGCCTGGAAAGTAAGACAGTTATAAAATAAAAGATAACCAAACAATCAGTTTCAGCAATGCAAAATTCTATGTCTTTTTTAACTATTGATGGCAACAAGTTACATACCTTTGGAAAGCAACTTTCATCATCAAGAAGGTGAATAATTCCAATAGGTCGTTTAGAAATTAAATCTAAACATGGTTGATTGTCATTAAAAGAGATCTGTGTCCAGGGTATCCTCTCACGAGTATATTCTTGCTGCAAACATTAATAAAAAAAATATAAATTGTATTCTATTCTTCCTAAGCAAATATACTATCTCCACTCCACTGACACCACCACTCGTCCACTCCACTGACACCACCACTCGTCCACTCCACTGACACCACCACTCGTCCACTCCACTGACACCACCACTCGTCCACTCCACTGACACCACCACTCGTCCACTCCACTGACACCACCACTCGTCCACTCCACTGACACCACCACTCGTCCACTCCACCGACACCACCACTCGTCCACTCCACCGACACCACCACTCGTCCACTCCACCGACACCACCACTCGTCC